TACCTCCTCATGTATCACTGGCCCCTTCCTTTTAGATTGTAAGCTATCACGGGCAGGGCTCTCCTTACCATCTTGTCTTGATTTGATTTACTGTAATGTCTTCCTTTAATTGTAAACCGATACTGCACATACTGTTGGCGCTATATACCGTATTTGCCGGCGTATAAGATGACTTTTTATACTTAAACAGCCCCTGAAAATTAGGAGTCGTCTTATACGCCAGGTATACAGCCCGCTGGATGTGCGGTAATACTGTATGTACGGCAGCTTCGGCTACATACAGTATACCGCCCTGAGCCAATCACGGCGAGCGATGATAACAAAGCCTGCTGTGTACAACCTCTGCCAATCCGAGCAGGCTTTGTATTCATTAATAGAATACATCGCTCGCCGTGAATGGCTCAGGGCGCTATGCTATATGAAAAACCGAAGCTACCGTACATACTGAATTACCGCACATCCAGCGGGCTGACAGATTAGCCTCCCTGGCAGTCTGATTATTTATTTTTTCCTTTTTTGTTTGTTTTTTTTTCCTTTTTAAAATTCCGGCCGGTTCCACCCCCTTGCGACGCGGACGCTCGCAAGGGACGGAACCCGGAAGGACACAGCGGGGCTTGTGGACAACGTAAGAGACGCTACGCTGTAATCCCGAGTGTGGCTCGGGGGTTAACGCTTATGGTACTGAAAATTTAACTTCGAGAGACACTCTGGGAATACCGCCAAGGAGGTTAGTGGGTGTATTTAAACATTATTTTGGGCTATACTCGTCTTGTACGACGAGTATAGCCCAAAACCTATGTTTTAACAGAAAAAATAGGGGGTCGTCTTATACGCCCAGTCGCCTTATACGATGGTAAATCCTAAAAAATAATTTCCAAATACAAAATTTGGGATGACATTTGTCAATGCTCTGATGGCATTATGCAATGTTCTGACCAGATTTTCCATATGAACAATCGTGTAGATATCTACTAGTGTATGGCCCTTAGACTGGCAGGCTCCTGAGTTGTATATAGGATGTCCACTCTCTTGGTTTACAGACCCTTACAGAAATGTAGTAGAGGCCGATCCCTTTTCTTCTTCAATCAAACAAAGCATTGTGTACAAGTCAGGGAGGATTTATTAAGGGAGTTGAAAATCTTCACCCACTAAATTGTGCGTAAATTTCATTAGCTGGTCATGTGAAAATTCCAGTTTACTTAGAATATATATATTCAATCTATTTATCCCATCTTTCCCTCCGATCGCCCGCACCAGAATGCGTGGCACATCAGTGCCTGCGTTCCAGTCCAGTGTGATCTGCAAAAATGCTGCAACTATTTTGCTGCAACTATTTTGCTGCAACTATTTTTGCAGATCACACTGGACCAGAACGCAGGCACTGATGTGCAACGCATTCCGGTGCGGGCACCTGAACGCAGGAAGTCTTCTGGAATGCGATACAGTGCGTTCTGGAGCGCATTGTTTAGGGCCAGTGCACACCTAGGCGACACCTCACCGTGCGGCAATCGTGCACGATTCCGCGCGTATTGCCGCACGGTCAGGAGTTGCCTAGGTGTGCACAGATCGCGCCGTGGGTGCCATTATTTTCTAATGGCACCACGGTTGCGCTGGGCGGATCGCGCGGTTTCCCGCCACGATTCCACCCGTGCTTCTGAGTCGTGTGTCACAAAAAAAGGTACATGTAATCAGTGGGACCGCGCGGCAATCGCGTCCTGCATTGTGAAGGACCGTGTGGTCCCGGATCGCGTAGGTCTGCACGGAGCCTTATGGTGTGAAGCGGCCCTAAATGAAGATCCACAACTCCTTTAGTAAATCGGCCCGCTGTCTGTATTCGAGTAATCCTACACAGCCAAATGATACATTTGATAAAACCCAGCTCTGTATCCCTCTGTGCACAATGTACACGTCTATGTTTAGGCCGTAGCTTAATGAAGCATAACAATATTCAAATGCCACGCTGGACCTTGAGGCTACGCTTGGTTATACAAGCTTCTTCTGGAAATTGCAAAACACCTGAAACAGATAATTGCGCGCAGATTATAAGTCTCCGTTTTTTCATTTTCATCCTGACATCAATTACCCACCTTCATTCATCCTTCTCAAGCAGAGATTGTCATAATAAAACATCTATTAGATGACAGGAGTCGATGGATAGCACATTGCGTGGGTGGAAAATTAGTTGACGAGGACCTGCCTGCAAAAAAAATGAAACGTCCAGAAATATTCCCGCCTGTGTTCACTGCAAAGTTGCTGTTACTAATAAGCTATGCAGGATATGACCTCCCAGATATTTTTACTTACAAGCCCATTGCGTTCTCGCTTATGCAGGGTATGAGTCAACATTATGACTTGGAGGGCAGAGCCTGGACCTTTTAGTTACGTAGGTGTTCCAGCTGGAGTCCATAGAATCATAAGATGTCAGTTAATGATTATGGTTATCAGGGTGCACCAGTAATGAAAATATCAGTGCTGGTGTCTGCATGTCTGCGCTGATCCTTCTGAGCGAAGGCTAGTCATTGTGGTTGGAAGATCCCACATTCTAATGGTCTTTTTATAATAAAAGCAACTGTGTCTGCAGACGCCACCTGGCTAATCCTAGGGGATGGCAGCGTAAATAAGCATGTTGATTGCACAATGATTGCGCATGTTTGTAGAAATATGTAGTTCTTAAAGTGGACCTGAATTGTGAGAGTTGGCATGCATAGAGCTAAGGACTGGTTACCAGTACCAGCTTACCAATCCTTAGATGCGGTGGCTGCGGCATTAGGTTCCTTGTTTTTAGCCTCTTTTTTTGCTTTATTTTTATGGTGACATAGCCAGCAACACATTTCCTGTCTCAGGATGGCTCCACTCTGTGGAGGCGCAACGGAGCCACCCCTGGACAGCAGCATTGTCAGCATGTCTGGAGGTGTAGTGTTACACTAGCAGATCTAGTTGGACATGACTGACAAGTAGAATCTCAACTCCAAGTAACTCTTTTAGGCAGATATAGCAACTGTTTTTTTCCTCTGGTGGAGGAGAGAGCAAGTAGCATATATATATATA